TGTCGGTCCTGCCCGGTTTTTCTTCCTTTCCCTCCCCCTAGAGCCAACGGCCGCGCTTTCCCGCGGAGGAGACCCTGACCCCTCGCTCCGCACCGCTCCGCGCCCCACCGCGGGGTGCGCGCAGCCGGCCCGTCCTACGGCGGAGAGACAAATCGCCGGATGATTTCTTTTTTTTTCCCGGGAGGGTGGGCGCTTGTTGTTGATTCCCCCCTCCTCCCCAGATTTCTGTAGGTTGATATGTAGCATGTTGTTTTCATTTCTTGACTTTTTAAAATAACTGGGTGGATTTAAATTTATCGAACAACCTGTGATCCATATGTCTGTCCGATTAATTTTTTTATGGGATGATGAAAGAGAGGAGAATCTCTATATATAGTGATCTGCTAATGGAATAATATATATATTCAAAACACCTTTCTGGGGTTACTTTTATTTCCGGACTTTCAAATGCAGTCCGGGTTTTTAGGCAGTTGGGTGAGGCGCTACTTATTTGATGTAGGAGAATCGCATATTTAAACTTCCTGGGGGGTGAAATGTTTAAACTGTTTTCCACCAGAAAGAGATTTTCCTGCGGTCCCTTCGAAAATCTCCAGTGACATTTAGGGGATGGTTATGGCCATGTTTTGCCATTCACAGTGTGATTTCTTCAAATCTTCGCGAACATTAAAGCCGGGTGCCATCAGAGAGTAAAATATCCACGGCGTCCTTTTCTCTTCAAAGACACGATTTTCTGTGACTTCCCAGCAGGGGACCATAGGAGCGGTCACTAAGGAAAACATATTTAGATCATTATCCGCTTTTTCCCCCCAGTGAGCCTAATCGCTTCACCCTAAGGAGACGTGGCGTTAAAACTGACAGCAGGTAGCTGCCGGGGGCTAGTCAGTCAAACGTTACCAACTGGAGAAAAAATTACAGACGCTGGTGAGAAAATCGCGTGTAAGCCCTGTTTCCGTGTACCCCAAGCGCACCTTCGACCCCGTCGCTCTTCCTTGCTCTCCGCGGTTGCGGCTGAGCGGGAGGACTTGGGGGGTCTTGGGGGCGAATTAGCAATTCCAGCTTTCCTGTGGCGGGGTACCACGGCAAGCCACTCTCCCCGAGATACAGGTCACCTCCAGCACAGGCTTCAGAGAAGGTTTGAACGTAGCTTTAAATTTAAAAGAGGCAGGCAAGCCCTCCTCAGCCCCCCTGGCCGCGGCGGGGTATTACAGCCTGCCCGTCCCGCTCTGCCGCGCTCCCTCCGGCCGGGCTGCTCTCTCCGCTTCCAAGCGGGCTGCAGCCCGGCGGAGGAGGTGGTGGCATCAGGGATCCGGCAGGAACGGCCCTCCGGAGCGGCGGCGGGGCTCTCCTTCGGTTTCTGATGTGAGCGGTCCGCAGCCTGGCCCCGCTCGTGTGCCTCGCCTTCCGCGGGCGCGTAACGAGCGCGGTTCACGGCTAGGGCGGCACCGGCTCAACCCCGCGCCGGGCCCAGGCCCGCGGAGTCCCGGCGACCCTGGGCTCGGCCCCCAGTCCCCGTCCCGGGGCCCTGTCCCGGACACCCCGCGGCCGGGCTGGGGCGGGAGGGAGCGGGACCGGCTTCCCCGACACCTGGGACTCCCCGGGCTCGAACTCGACTGGCGGCTCCCAAAAACAAGGGGACGGCGAAGGCGACACGGCCCCAGCCGCCGGGACCAGGGTGCGTGCAGCATCCCGCTCCGTGCTCCTAGCTCAGGAGCCGAGGAATGGGAACCGGGCCGGGGAGGCGAGGGGAACCCCCGCGCCCTCA